AGAGAGAACATCGGCTGTTATGGAGGCTCACATTACCATGGCCGGCGCTTGAGTTCTTTTTTTCTGGTGGCCAACCGAAGGTGCACATTTTCAGCTGACCTCTTTGACAAGTAAACACGATCATTTTGTTTGTTTACAAACTGCTGGACAACGAATGTTTTCTCATCGGAGAAAACCAAATTCGGCAGTTCACCACATTCGACCAAGCGAAGCAACTCTTTAGGTGCTTTGAGTCTATTTTCTTTCTGTTGCGGTGTAAGTACTTGCACTTATTAGAATTTCAATGGCTTTACCCCGAGCTCATTTTTCAATATTTGCCGAATGGAATATTGCGATATGTTCAGCTCACGAGCCATTTTTTCGGCCACTGCGACGCGAGTCTCGATTAAGTCGATTATTTACTTTTCGAACCATTTCTGCTGATGTTGCTGTTTTCTTCCGTCCCGTCTTGATGTCGGGTTACGCTATCAGTATCACGGTAATGAGCGATGGTACGAGACACAAAAGATTTATTCACATTTAAATGCTGGAGTGCTCTAACGATAGCCAATTGTGATTTTCCAGCCAAATATAAAGAGACCGCACTATCACGCTTGAATTCCATCTCGAATAACTTTTTTTCTGGAAAATTCTCAACAAAATGCTTTTGTACGCTTGTAAACAATATAATGAGCTGTCACTGGAATAATTTTAACAGCTGTCAGACAACAGTCTGAAGTTGGTTGCAGTTTTTTCATCTCACCCAGTATATACTTTGTTAGGTCTAAAGTAATGATTTCGATGAGTTACAAACGGAATGAAGAACATAATATACGCTCCATACTATATATGGTGGAGGATATTTAAATAAGGGACATATCTGTGATCAGATGTGAATTTATCATATCTGAATACAATTCAGATTAAATTTGCTTCATATCAACTTACATCTAAAACAGGGCTGTTCAGAGAGTAACACTTTTATGATTTATGTGTTTGTTTTCTCTTTCGAGACGAGCTTAATGATCTGAAATTTGCAGTGAAAAGGAAAGCCAGATAGACACTATCACACACTCACCACTTTGCGACGCGTTTCGCCGTTGGTTAAGCGGCTCATCAGGCATATTTGGTGTGGATGATGGCTTACAGGGGCCGTTCTCTGGAAAGTAGTATATATTTCGAACTTATTGCAAATTAGCATATTCGAATTATACACTAGAAACTCTCCAGGTTCGACTCAAGTTCTATTGACAGATCTTTTTCACAGCAAAGTTTTTGTTTTTTGTAGTGATGGATTTTTTGTCCACAACAACTACATTGCTTCCAATGCATACACTTATTTTAGTGCTGCTTTAGGAAGACGGGTTAATGGCTCTGAACGTAGAGACGGCAACATCTAGTTGGCTGCACACCGAGGTCCGCGGTTCAAATCCTATTTTGTTGCTCTCTAGTTGTTTTACTATGGATCGGATTGAGGAATAGAGATAATTACGCTCATTGAAGGTACGAGTGTCTGGGCCTGATCTAAAATATCCTTTGAATAGGGCAAGAATTCATCTTAGAATTCATCAAAAATGCCCAAATATGACCATCACTTTAAAGTGAATTAAGTTACTTTGCATTTCGCCCAAGCAATTCCATTGAAAACGTGCATGTCTATGCAAATTCACGCAAATCAATTATTTGCCCTGAGGAAATATTAGAGAAATAGGAAAATTAAAATCCCACCAATACACAGACACAATTTAATGTGAATTAAAAAAACACACACTCACACACATGTTCGGGTGTACATACAAATGAACACCGCGAATATAACTAAAGCATTTCTAAATGTATTTGTGAAATTCTATGATTATGGAAATTTTCAATTAATTAAAAGCGATTAGTGAGTGGATTGAAGTACTCAGTGTCACGCCCACATGTATATGGCGTACAGACACACATACACTTCATAGCAAGCCTGGTGGACAAAGAGATCACTGACTAACTGGTCTGAACTCAAATGAACTGAAGCGAACGAACGAACAAACAACTGCCTAATGCAAATACTGTGGCCACCAACAATGACGAAGATCATTATGAGGTTCCAGCGGAGACCAGAAGAAGGAAACCTCACAAATGCAACAAGTGATACGTGAGAAAATGAATGTGACATATACACGTAATCCGTAGTACAAAACCAAAAGGGAGAGAGTCGTGCTTTGGGGAATGGAACAGTGGAGCATTGACTTATTGGAGCTTAAAATAATGGAAGATCAATCAATCACGACAATAGTTATTGAGCAGAGGTCAATACTCATAGACCAGACTTCAATAGTGAATAGTCATTATCGAGAGATCAATTATCATTGGCCAGAGGTTAATAGCCATTGACCAGAGGTCAATAGTTATAGACCAAAGGTCAGAGGTCAATAGTCATTGACAAGAGGTCAATAGTCATTGACCAGAGGTCAATAGTCATTGACCAGAGGTCAATAGTCATTGACAAGAGGTCAATAGTCATTGACAGGAGGTCAATAGTTATTGACCAGAGGTCAATAGTCATTGACCAGAGGTCAATAGTCATTGACCAGAGGTCGCAATAGTCATTGACCAGAAGTTAGTAGTCATTAACCAGAGGTCAATAGTTATAGACCAGAGAACAATAGTCATTGACCAGAGGTCTATATTCATTGATCTGAAGTTAGTAGTCATTGACCTGAAGTTAGTAGTCATTGACCAGAGGTCGATAGTTATTGACCAGAGGTCAATAGTCATTGAACAGAGTTCAAAAGTTATTGACCAGAGGTCAATAGTTATTGACCAGAAGTCAATAGTCATTGACCAGAGGTCAATAGTCATTGACAAGAGGTCAATAGTCATTGACAGGAGGTCAATAGTTATTGACCAGAGGTCAATAGTCATTGACCAGAGGTCGCAATAGTCATTGACCTGAAGTTAGTAGTCATTGACCAGAGGTCAACAGTTATGGACTTGAAGTTAGTAGTCGTTGACCAGAGGTCAATAGTTATTGACCAGAGGTCAATAGTCATTGACCAAAGGTCAATAGTTATTGACCAAAGGTCAATAGTTATTGACCAGAAGTCAATAGTCATTGACCAGAGGTCAATAGTCATTGACAAGAGGTCAATAGTCATTGACCAGAGGTCAATAGTCATTGACAAGAGGTCAATAGTCATTGACAGGAGGTCAATAGTTATTGACCAGAGGTCAATAGTCATTGACCAGAGGTCGCAATAGTCATTGACCAGAAGTTAGTAGTCATTAACCAGAGGTCAATAGTTATAGACCAGAGGACAATAGTCATTGACCAGAGGTCTATATTCATTGATCTGAAGTTAGTAGTCATTGACCTGAAGTTAGTAGTCATTGACCAGAGGTCGATAGTTATTGACCAGAGGTCAATAGTCATTGACCAGAGGTCTAAAGTTATTGACCAGAGGTCAATAGTCATTGACAAGAGGTCAATAGTCATTGACAAGAGGTCAATAGTCATTGACCAGAGGTCGCAATAGTCATTGACCAGAGGTCTATAGTTATTAACCAAAAGTCAATAGTCATCGACAAGAGGTCAAATAGTTTTTGACCAGAGGTCAATAGTCATTGACCAGAGGTCAATAGCATTGACCAGAGGTCAACAGTGATTGACTGGAGGTCAATAGTGATTGACCAGAAGTCAATAGTGATTGACCAGAGATTAATTAAATATTGCCCAGAGGTCAATATTTATTGACTTTTGGTCAATATTTATTGACTTGTGGTCAATAGTCATTGACCAGGAGTCAGTAGTCATCGTCAATAGTCTTTTACCAGAATTCAGTAGTCATTGACAATAGGTCAACAGAGGTCAATACTCATTGACCTGAAGTCGATAGTCATTGACCAAAGGTCAATAGTCTTTGACCTGAAGCCAAAAGTCATTGACCAGAGGTCAATATTCATCGACCAGAGGGCAATAGGCGTTGACCAGAGATCAATAGCCATTAACCAGGAGTCTTTAGTCATCGACCAGAGGTCAATAGCCATTGGCCAAAAGTTAATAGTCATTGACCAGAGGTTAATAGTCGTTAACCAGAGGTCAATAGTCATTAACCAGAGATCAATAATCATTGACCAGAAGTCAATAGTCAGTGATCAGAGGTCTATAGGTATTGACCAGAGGTCAATAGGCATTGACCAGAGGTCGATAGTCATTGGTCAGAGGTCAATAGTCATTGACCAGAGGTCAATAGTTATAGACCAGAGGTCAACAGTTATAAACCAGAAGTCAGTAGTCATTGGCCAGAGATCAAAAGTCATTGACAGTAGGTCAGGAGTCAAGGACCAGAAGTCAACAGTCGTTGACCGGAGACAATGACTAGAGGGCATTAGGGATTAATCTAAGATCAATACATATTGACTAGGAGTCATTTAATATTGACTAAAGTTCTATAAGTATTAGCCACAGGTCAATATATATTGGCCAGAGGTCTATACATATTAGCAAGAGGACAATAATCAATAACCAAAAGTCAATACCCTTGGAAATAAGTGCAAGTCAATGAGCAGAGGTCAATATTCATAAAGCCGACGGTAGAGGTCAGGTCACTAGACTAGAAGTCAACATTGTGAAGAGTGAAACCATTTTATCTGCCATCAATTGACCTTGGGTCAATACCCATTAACTTAGCCTTAATAGCCATTGTCAGATGTCAATGGCGACAGAATAGGCATCAATTGTCATTGATCAGAGGGCAGGGGATCAAAAAATGGGCAGATTTTAGAACTTTTGACAATTCCCATTGATAACCAATGTTCATGATATTCATGCTGTGATCATCACTGGACGAAGGAGAATATCTAATGGATTTAACTTGACAATAACTTATCGAATCCTCTTCGGTTTATAGAGTGCAATCATTGGCTTTCTTATCCCACTGTAGATGGTTCTTCTAAACGTACATATCAAATTATTCTCAAAGCGATCACAAGTCACTCAACCGATTCAAATGCATCTGCCACAACTCAAACCTAAGCCGTATTCATTCAGTCATCGAACAGAGTTCAAATAATAAAGAACACGCAACATAAATTTTACTGCAACGGATCGCAAAAAAAAAATGTCTTCAACTTTATGGAAATCCAAGGTGGCTGTAGTTACCGGGGCCTCTGTCGGCATTGGAGCCGAAGTTGCTGTTAGATTGGCAAATGCAGGGATTACAGTCGTTGGACTGGCCAGACGTGCGGAGCTAATTGATGTAAGGGTAGCAGAGAATATTTAATACCTTGAAAATATTATTTTATATAATTGATATCACAAGGATCTTAACAAAAAAGTCCATGGCAATGGCGGCCAGATTCACTCCTACCGTTGTGACATGGCAAATGAGGAAAATATTGGCAAAGCTTTCGCATGGATTGGAGAGCATTTTGGTGGCATCAGCATTCTGGTGTGTAATGCCGGTGTGCTCAAGGCGAATTTTATTGTTGGTAAGGATATGGTTTTTGTTGAAAGATATATTTTTTAATTTAAATGTAATGTTTCTTAGAATCATCAAATGCTGACTTAAAGCAATTGTACGACATAAATGCCTATGCTACAACAATTTGCCTGCGTGAGGGCTTAAAATTGATGAGAAATGGAAAAGTCGATAAGGGACATATTATGGTGTTGAACAGGTGAGTGAAAGGCAGTGGAATTGAAATGAAGGGTTTTAATAGGCAATATGTGTCATGGTATTTCCTCTCAAAATACGGGCCAAGATTTAATTTTTCTATTAATGTGAAAAATTCCGTATGAAATGTTTAAATATGGTTAAACTGAAATGTGAATCTATGTTAAGAATCTATGTTTCTTTATGAAGTCTACACTGCATAGAAAAAGTGGTTGGGGAGAGATTAAAGTATGTTAAACAAGTAAAAAACATTAAGTTCGACCGGTCCGAACTTTTAATACCCTCCACCATTGGGTAAAGAAAACAATTTTCTATAAAAGTATGTCCATTATATGGGGGCTATACAAAACATGTAAAAAGGCAGTAAGTTCGGCCGGGCCGAACTTTTAATACCCTCCACCATTTGGTACAAATTTGGCAATTTCCAAAAAAAAAAAAAAAAAATCCGTTAAAAATGCTGTTAAAATCTTAAAAATATCGAATGCTTATACGACGACGTGGACCTGCATAGGCAAGTTTTGTCATAAGATATTACAATATTTAAATGCAAAACTTGAAGAAAAATCTGTTTATAATGTAGCTAAAATCATCAAAATACTGAATATAGGGGGTACCGTCATATGGGGGCTGTACGAAGACATGGACCTGCACAGACAATTTTCTGGCATGGGCTGAGGTATCTATTACGAACTTCAAATAACAAATTTGGAACGATTCCGTTAAATAATGCCGCTAAAATCATCAAAATACCGAATATCGGGGGGTACCGTTATATGGGGGCTATATGAAGACGTGGACCTGCACAGATAATTTTCAGTCTTAGGTTGTAGTATCTATTATGAACTTCAAATGCCAAATTTGAAACAATTTCGGTGAATAATGTCTTTAAAATCATCAAAATACCGAATATCGGGATGTACCGTTATATGGGGGCTATATGATAACTTGAACCTACATGGCCCATTTACGAACTTAACCAGCCTACTGGCAAAATATACATATGTGCAAAATTTTAGCCTTCTATCTTAATTTGTTTGAAAGATAGCGTGATTACAACAGACAGACAGACAAACAGACAGACAGACGGAAATGGCTAAATCGTCTTAGAATTTTACGCTGATCAAGAATATATATACTTTGTTGGGTCTGACATGAGTATTTCGAGGAGTTACAAACGGAATGACAAAATTAATATACCCTCCATAGTATGGTGAAGGGTATAAAAATGGACCTACACATACAATGTTTCGCCACCGGAGCTAGAACCCGTTATGACCTACAAATACCAACTTGTAGACAAATTCGTGAAAACATGTGGCGAAAATCATCAAAATACCGAATATGGCTGCCTATACATGGGGGCTATACGAAAACGTAGATCTATACATACTATGTTCCGCCCATTGCGAAGTACGATTTTTTGGACAAATCCATGGAAAAATGTGGGAAAGATCTCCAAGACACCGAATATCGGGGGGTACCATTATATGGGGCTATACAAATAAATGAACCTACACATACAATGTTTCGCCACCGGAGTTAGAACCCAATATGACCTACAAATAGCAACTTTTGGACAAATTCGTGGGAAAATGTGGCAAAAATCATCAAAACACCGACTATCGGGAGTTACCGTTATATGGGGATTATGCCTAAACGTGGACCTTTACATACAATGTTTCGCCACAGGAGCTAGAACCTATTACGAACTACAAATACAAATATTTTGACAAATCCGTGGAAAAATGTGTGCAAAAAATATAAAAATAGCGAATATCGGGAGCTACCCTTATATGGGGGCTATACAAAAAAGGACCTACACATACATTGTTTCGCCACACCTATTACGAACTTCAAATACCAATTTTTAAACAAATCCGTGGAAAAATGTGTGCAAAAATTATTAAAATAGCGAATATCGGAAGGTATTCTTATATGGGGGCTATACAAAAACGTGAACCCATTATGACCTACAAATAGCAATTTAGGACAAATTCGTGAAAACATGTGGCGAAAATAATTAAAATACCGAATATCGGGAGGTACCGTTACATAGGGGTTATACGAAAACGATGACATAAACATACAATATTCCACCACCGGAGCTAAAGTCCATTATGACCTACAATTACCAATTTTTAGACAAATCTTTTAAAAAAAATGCGGCGAAAGTCATTAAAATACGGAATATTGGGAGGTACTGTTTGTGCCATGTTTTGAAGCTCTACGTCTAATAATGTGAGCTGTATCGTGATTTCAACAGACAGACGAAAAAAATGTCGGAAATATAATCAAATTTTAGAATAAGTTTCGATTTGTACGAATTGGTCAACTTTGGCACGAATTATGGCCTTCAAACGGCCTATGAAACCGTCAAACGATACCCGAATGTTGCTTTGCGGTATTTTGACCCATTCCCGGTGAAGCGCTTGCTTGAGGTGATCGACACTTTGGTATTTTTTAGTGCCAAACTTGCTTTCCAAAATTCTCCAGACACAATAGTCCAACGGATTAGTATCCGGAGATTTTTGTGGCCATTGTGCGCTGGAAATGAAGCGATGAACCTCATTTAATCATGTAACCATTCTTGGGTGGCGCGTGCTGAGTCCTATTGGAATGTCCAAGGTCTGTGGCCAAAATGTTAAGGCTTTAATACAACCTCCAGAATAATTATTTGATAATATTCGGCATTTATTCTGATGTCACGGTCGATTAACACATTTCCGCTGACCTCTTTGGCAAGTAAACACGATCATTTTGTTTGTTTACAAACTGCTTGACACCGAATGTTTTCTCATCGGAGAAAACCAAATTTGACAGTTCACCACTTTCGACCAAGCGAAGCAACTCTTCAGCTCTTTTGAGTCCATTTTCTTTCTGTTGCGGTGTAAGTTCTTGTACTTTTTGGAATTTCAATGGCTTTACCCCGAGCTCATTTTTCAATATTTGCCGAATGGTATATTCGATATGTTCAGCTCACGAACCATTTTTCGGCCACTGCGACGCGGGTTTTGATCGAGTCGCTTCATTACTTTTCGAACCATTTCTGCTGATGTTGCTGTTTTCTTTCGTTCAATCCCTTGACGTCGGGCTACGCTACCAGTATCACGGTAGCGATGGTACGAGACACAAAAGATTTATTCACATTGAAATGCCGGAGTGCTCTAACGATAGCCACTTGCCAAATATAAAGAAATCATCCCGCTTGAATTCCATCACGAATAACTTTTTTCTAGAAAATTCTCACCAAAATGCTTTTGTACGCTTCTAAACAATATAATAAGCTGTCGGACGAGTGGCTTAGAAATGACAGAAGTCGGAAGTTGGTTGCCATTTTTTTATCTCACCCTGTATCTCATTGTCAATACCAACCATCCTAGAATGACAAAGTTAATATACCCTCCTTTTTAAGGTGGAGGATAAAAAAATCCACGATTTGTTATTCCTTAGAAAATATTTAAAAAATCCAAGACAACAGGTTTCTTGACCCTTGAAAAAATTAAAATTAAACGATATAGCCATATTTACAGCTTTGTTAGTCCTTAAATATATATTTAAGAAATCCTTAGTTACCAGAAGGTAATGTTGTAGAACTCAATGTAATATTTTTTTAATAATCCCATGATTACAGAATTTCAAAAATTCACGTTTATCGCTTTGGTAGTCCTTGCAAATAATTATCCTAAAAATCTACGTCGTTTGTCCCTGAATTAATTTCAATATTTATGTAAATATGTATTTTTGGTACCCAGATAGGTGCAAATCGTACAATTTTTTACTAATAATTAGAACCACTTTGTTTTCCTGATTTAAAATTTATTTTTTTATTGGTCCTCCAATTTCCCGGAAAATGTCCTTTATATTCTATTACCCCAACTCCAACGATTCATTACACCGCCATCCTTGTAAAAAAAAAAACAATAATTTCACTTTAAAAAAAAAACGGTTCCCCTCAATAAAACCAAACACATTTGTCCAATGCCTGACACCATTGGCTTATCATGGCAGGAACACTGATCGGCATTATCCGCAAAATTGATGACCATCAACAAAAAGCCATAAAAAAAACTATTGTCGATGGTTGACTGGCTGACCGGTTGACTGGCTGGCAGGCCATGTGGCTGACACCATTCAATCGTTTTTAAGATGATAAGTTCAAATTAATAACACTCATACGTCTGCATGACAAAAAGCGGTTTTGTGTGCAACACAATGGAACTACGCACACATACACACACATCCATGTGCAAGTAGGTGTGTGAGTAAGTGTCACTCTCTCTCCTCTCCACATGACTTGTGTGTTGTAAGTTTTTAATATTGCTGGTGAAACCAATATTTTGAGTACTTCATGGCACATGCCCCCAGGGTGGGGGAGTTGGCTTCGAATGGGTGGTAATGGCTGAGTATTTGTATAATCTGATGATTCCCTTGGTTTGTTTGCCTATATGCGTAACTTTACCCTTTTATATGTGTCTGCGCGAATATGTGTATGTTTTTGTGTGTGTGCGAAGCATAAACACTTAATGTACTGGCATGAAATGACATTATGCATTATATGTCGTAAATACTTAATTGTGTTTAATAATTGAGTTATTTTGCGTTTTATTTGTGTTTAATGCTTGCAATATGCCAGCCACAACACCAATCTGACATTGTCATATCGAGGTAAATTCGATTGAAGCACCCACAAAATATCCTTACATGCATAAATGTATATTTGAAGATATACAAAAATATTTCGATGTCTGCAAAGGATTACAGTGGGGGAGAAAAATGTATGAGCAGACAGACAAAACTATATCTCATCAAAAACCAACACCAGAATTTTGAATTTTTAAGTATATTTTTCTCGAGGTTTATTAGACCCATAAACGTGGATATTTCAAATATATTTTCTCAAGGACTATGAGACCCATGAGCGTGGATTTTTCAAATATATTTTCTCAAGGACCATTAGACCCATAAACGTGGATTTTTTAAATATATTTTCTCAAGGACTATGAG